TTACGGGAGTAGAAAGCCTCATCTTTCTCCCGCGGAGCAGCTGGTAGTTTCGAACTGCTGACCTTATGGTTCGCAGCCCGATTCGTAACCACTACGCTTTCTACTCCCGTAGAGCAACAATGGAATCTTGGTGTGGTGCTGTAGGATGAGCACCTTCCTAACCACAATGTCAGCTGTTCAAGCCCATCAACTGCTCCTTGGAAACCCTGTATAGGGGCTCTGTGAGTCAGAACCGACACAACAGCACTTAACAACAACAACAAGGACAACTTACTGATCAGCAGAGTTACTCATTATTTGTAAGTCAAAACAAGAAACTGAGCTGGTAGGGTCAACATCTTCTTGCTTTGGTCTTACATAACTCGTATCTCTACTTTCACAGCAAAGTTTGGTCAGACACTGAGTAAAAATAATTAATCTTCCCCTTGTAACATGTGCTAACTGTTTTGTAGGAAGGGCAGGGAGCATAGTGATTCCCTTGTTCCCAGGAGTCTCACATAGGTGTCCTGGTCTTTTTTCATATGTACCATCTGAGAACAAGGACAAGAAGCTAGCCACACTTACCACGCCAGCCTCAGGGTTCCTCTTCCTCCCATTGCTGAAGGTGGAGGCCAGGGTGGAGGAGCAACTCTCATCATACAAGGCAGTCCTGCCGTCATTGATGGCTGAGTTGATGGAGATGGTCCACATACTGGAGGCATAGCCATCACAGTTACAGTCATCATAGCTGCCGCCATCCCCAGAGGCCCACACATAGATGCTGCCTTTGCCCCCTCGGCCCTGAGGAATAGACAAACAGACAGAAATGGTGATACTCGACACAACACCCTCTGGATGAAGGCTGGGTCCAGCCTTGGGAGTATCAGAGATGTGGACTCCCTCGGCAGCTGAAGGAAATGACTGGATTGTTTTGATTTTCAATTGAGAATCCCTATCCTTCTGGCGAAGCGCTGCGAGAGTTGTTGTTTTTTTTTTTTTTTTTTTTTTTACAGGAAAATTCATTCCTATTAGGGTCTGATAACTTGACTTCTGTAGGACTAGCAAGACCCACTTGAGGTTGGTGCAAACAACACACACAAACAAAAAGCAGCCAAGTTGCAAGCAAAGTTTATTAAGCTAGGAATGGTACACTTCTCAGAAGAGGAGAAGCGGGCATCTCTCTCGTGAGTGAGTGCTCACTTTCTGTTCTTGCTCCCCTTTTATAGGGTTTTTGGCTCATTTCCCTCAGGTTTAATTCTGATTTGTGGCATGGTCTAGGTAGCACATATTTTGCGCCCTTTTTTGATCATCTAGCTCTGCTTTGTTTCTCAGAAGGTGCGCTGGGCTTAGTGTCCTGGACTTGCTGATTGAAGTTCTAGGCGTTGGGGTGATGTTAGGCTGGCCTGTAAAGTTACTTCTCTGTTCCCTAACAGTTCCATTATAAAAAGTCACTCAGATTTATAGTGCAAGCTGAGGATAAAGAGGTAAAAGAATGCAGAAAGACTTTTCTTTAACAAATGAAGTGCTACTTTAAAAAAAAACTATAAAGTTTTCACAGAAAGGAAAATGAAAAATTATCTATAGGTGTGATCATTGTTATAAATTTCTTATGTATCTTTATAAACCATTTTTGTGAAAATATAAGTATATATCTATTTATACTTGTTGTTGTTATGTGCCGTGGAGTCGGTTCTGACTCATAGC